GTTGTTGTTGTTGTTGTTGAACATTATTAATTCTAAAGAATAATTATTGTTGGGACCCCTGGTGCACGGCCCCCCCGCCGCGCCTAGGCCGCAGCTACATTTTCATCATTTTTTCGCGAAAGCTTCAGAAAAGTGGATGGGGTCCAGATCCGGTTGTTTTGTTGTAATCCGTTTTCCCTTGCAAAAAACACTATAAAATGACATTTCTTGTTCTAATATAATCAAATTTCAAGAATCCCTTGCAAAAAATAAGGTAAAGTGGACATTCGCGCGCGCAAGACGAAATCCTTCCAAAAGCTTAGTGTTCGGAGCGATTTTAACATAAAAACATCAAAAAACCAATGGTTTTTCAACAAAAAAATGTCAAAATCTCATCCCGCGCGCTCTTGCGGATTCGTAGGAAACCCAACACTTTTTAAACATTTCTGTCAAACGGGCTTTTGCGAGCAACTTTTTCGAACTTCTGCGACAACGGTTGCGCACCTGCCAGGGCCATCATCCCTGTCAAATAATACCATGCGGGACACATCCTGTCTCTCTCTCTGTCTGCTCTCTGTCTCTCTCTCTGTCTCTCTGTATTATGTATTGTATGGCACAATTGCACCATGCTGGGCACATGCGCGCCCCGAATAAGTGACCAAGTTCTGTGGGTGTGTACCCCACGCCAGTGTAGTAGCCACGGTCGTCCGCACGCCACGAAGTGAAGTGTCCCAACGTCATAGGGCGGGAAGCTGGGTTTGGGTGGTCGCGAAGAGTCGTTTGGATATTTGGTAGAGCTTGTAATGCCCCCCCACGAAGTGGGGGTATTGCCTGGTGTCGTATGAAAACCCTGGCACTGGGGAGAACACCACGCGTTCGGGTAAAATGATTGTTGTTGTTGTTGTTGTTGTTGTTGTTGTTGTTGTTGTTGTTGTTGTTGTTGAATTCTCAAGTCTGAAGAATGATGATTGTTAAACCCCCCCTCCGGTGCATACTGTTTTTTCTCAGTCAAAGTGTGCCCCTCGACGCTCGCACCCTGTTTTTTGACAGGGGAAGTCTTGATGCTCAAGTTGGGCCCCTGGCCCCCGGGTTACAACAACAACGGCTCCCGCCTGAGACTTCCTTACAATTTAGCCAGGACCTCCGCTCCCGCCCGAGACGTTCTCGCATTTATTCAGGAATCGCGCTCTCGCTTGGGACCTCCTTCCAATTTTTTCAGGAATCGCTCTCCCGGCGCTCTGGAGTCGCGCTCTCGCTGGAGATTTGCTTGCAACTTATTGAAGAATAGCCTTGCGTTGGAATTTCCTGCAATTTGCCCAAGCGCCGCGCTCCCGACACCCAGGCGCCCAGGAGTCGCGCCCGTTGTGGCCCCATGTGCAGGCCCTTCGTGGCCCCGCTGTCGCCATTTGTGGCCCCCTCACTGTCCTACTGTCCTACGTGGCCCAGTTGCTACCCTCAGTGGCCCCATAGTTGCCTCCTGTGGCCTAGCATTATCTGCCCTTCGTGGCCCCCGCTCGTTCGCGCTCTTCGTGGCCCCATACGCGTTCCCTTCGTGTCCCCGCTGTCGCCCTTCGTGGCCTACTTCGTGCCCTTCGTGCCCCTGCTGTCGTTCTCTCTCGCTCTCGCTTTCGCTCGTCGTCGCCGTCGTCGTCGTCGTCGTCGTCGCCGTCGTCTTCGACGTCGTCGTCGTCGTCGTCGTCGTCGTCGTCGTCGTCGTGGTCGGTCCTCTGTCCGTTCCTCTTGGGGTCGGGTCGACGGTCCGCGGCCGCCCCGCCGATCAGCGCTGCCGCTGGCCAGGCCGACGGTCCGCGGCCGCCCCGCCGCTTGCCGGGGCCCGGCCTGCAGGGAAGAAAGGTATACCCCCCAAAAGGGGTTCGATCGAAGACGAAGAGGGCGGGTATCGAGGGTTTGGGAAATACGCGTTATTGGACACTCGAGCAGATAAGGGCGAACAGTCTTAAAATGATTGTTGTTGTTGTTGTTGCTGTTGCTGTTGCTGTTGCTGTGGCTGTTGTTGTTTGTTGTTGTTGTTGTTGTTGTTGTTGTTGTTGTTGTCGTTGTTGTTGAACATTATGTCTTCTTAAGAATAATTATTGTTGGGGCCCCTGGTGCACGCCCCCCCCGCCGCGCCTAGGCCGCAGCCACATTTTCATAATTTTCGTAAGGAAGTCTCAGGCAAAACGATGTGTACCAGATCCGGTTGTGTTGTTACGATCGGTTTTCCCTTGCAAAAAATAAGCTAAAGTGGACATTTCTTGTTCTAACATAACCAAACTTCAAGAATCCCTTGCAAAAAATAAGGTAAAGTGGACATTCGCGCGCGCAAAACGAAATCCTTCCAAAACCTTAGTTTTCGTAGCGATTTTAACATAAAAACATCAAAAAACCAATGGTTTTTCAAACAAAAAATGTCAAAATTTCATCCCGCGCGCTCTTGCGGATTCGTAGGAAACCCAACACTTTTTAAACATTTCTGTCAAACGGGCTTTTGCGAGCAACTTTTTCGAACTTCTGCAACAACGGTTGCGCACCTGCCAGGGCCATCATCCCTGTCAAATAATACCATGCGGGACACATTCGTTTTTTCTTCGCGCGCGCACGCCGTCGTCGTCGGCCGCGGGGCCCTGAATAGTAGCCACGGTCGTCCGCATGCCACGAAGTGAAGTGTCCGAACGTCATAGGGCGGGAAGCTGGGTGTGGGTGGTGGCGAAGAGTCGTTTGGAAATTTGGTAGAGCTTGAACCGGCCCCCCCACAAAGTGGGGGTATTGCCCGCCTCCTATGAAAACCCTGGCACTGGTGAGAACGGTGTGTCCCCACGTGCTAGTAATTGTTGTTGTTGTTGTTGTTGTTGTTGTTGTTGTTGTTGTTGTTGCTGTTGCTGTTGCTGTTGCTGTTGTTGTTCTTGTTGTTGCTGCGTCGCCGTCGTTGCCAGCGGTGCATTGGCCAACGCTCTGGTCGCCGCCGTCTGTGTCGCCGTCCCCGTTGTCGTCGCGGCCGTCGGTGGGCGTCGTTGTCGCCGTCGTCGTTGCCGTCGCCGTCGTCGCCCCCGCCTCCTGGAACCTCTTGGGGATTCCTGGAGCCACATGGGACCTCCTGGGCCTCCCGGGGCTTCTGGAGCCTGGGGCCTCCTGAGGTTTTCCGGGGCTGCATGGGACCTTGTCCAGCGACTTCGGGGTCTTTTGAGGGCCCCGTGGGCCCCACGGGGTCCCAGGAGGCGCCAGGAAGTCCGAGGAGGTCCCATGAGTCTTCTGGAGGCCACAGGAGGTCCTGGAGACGGCCAGGGGCGTGGGGAGATTCTTGCCAGGTTTCAATTTTTTTGCAATCCCCGGCGTAAGGGCTTCACGTTTTGTTCAAGGACATCTCAGCGTTCTTGGGCTTTCACAGGAGGGGTCCAGCATGACCCCGGAATAACAAGAAACGCAACAAGAAACTTACAAGAAATCTCCCCCGCCCCCGGCCGCCTCCGGGACCTCCTGGCCTCTCCAGAGGACTTCGGCCTTGGGACTTCTTGGGGCTTTCCGGGACCTCCTGGGGCCCCAGGAGGCCCCAGGGAGCCTGGGGAGATTCAGGAGGCCCGAGAAGGCCCTTCGAGACCCCAGGAGGCCCCAGGAAGCTCCACGAAACCCCAGGAGGCCCGGTCCCATGCGGCTCCAGGAATCCCCAGGAGGCTCTCCAGGAGACCCCAGGAGGTCCCAGGAGGTCCCAGGGCCACGGCCCCTTCTTCATCCGCGGCCCCAGGGAGGGGCCCTTCCCTCTTCCACCTCCTCCTCCTCCTCCGCCTCCTCCTCCTCCTCCTCCGCGCCTCCCGTCCTGGAGACCCTCCTGCGCGCCCGGACGGCGGCGACTGCGGCGAGGGAGGGGCCTCCAGGGCGGGAGGGATGGGAGGGGGGGGGCGGCGGCGGCGGCGACGGCGACGCCGACCCTACGGCGAAGGCGGTGGCGCCGACACGGCAACAGCGACGACGTGGACGGCGAAGACGGCGGCGGCGATGGCGGCGACGACTGCGGGGACGGCACCTGCGACAGCAACGGCGGCGGCTACGATGACGGGGACGGCGATCGACGGCGGTGGCGACGACGACGACGGCGACGGCGACGGCGACAGTGACGGCGGCGACGGCAACGGTGGCGGCGGCGCCGTCGACAGCGACGGTGGCGACGGCGACGACGACGGCGACGGCGACGACGACTACCCCGAAGACGGTGGCAACGACGCCGACGGCGACGATGATGACGTCGGCGACGATGACGACGCTGGTCCCTCGCGGGGCCACAGTTTTTGTAGTTTCACGTGGCCTCATTCCCATTATTTAATCTTGTAGTATAGTTTGATTTGTGGTTTCATGTGGTTCTATCTTTGGGGCTGCCTGGTGCTGCATGCGCATGGTCGATCCGAGCCCTTTAATGCATGTGTGCCCTTCGCGGATGGAAGCATGCACGGCGCCGCGCGACTCTTCGAGCGCTTGAATGTTACGAACGGTTGGGTCTTCTATTGGGGAAAGCCCACCAAGCTGGGCGCGGTCAAGCCCCAGTGCCATTCGTGCTACATCGCGATGCCCATGTGGAGTCAAAGTGTGGGTGAGTCTGTGAGAGTGCGGAGTATGAGCGAGTCCAGGCATGAACGGATTTGGAAATGAGTGAGTTTGAGCGTGTGTGTGTGTGTGTGTGTGTGTGTGTGTGTATGTGTGAGAGTCTCTGCGAGTGAATCTTGAGTGTGCGTGGGTCGGAGTAGGCGTAACTGGGCAACGTTAGGCGAATATATATAGAAGTGAGCCTGACCATGAGCGAGTCTGACCATGAGTGAGTCTGAGTGTGAGTGAGTCTAAGCGAATGAGCCTGAGTGTGAGTGATTCGGAGTACGATTAGCTAAGCATGAGGCTTGGAACATGAGAGAGGGGCAAGGGGCGGGTGAGTGATTGCGCGAGTGGAGGAGGCGTGGCGGCGTGACACCAGCAACACAAGCCTCATGCTCAGACTGGGCTCAAACCGCTGTGGCTCCGGGCCTTGCCCCGTGGCCGCCATGGATTCCCCCGCCGCCGCCATGGCGGGCTCCGTGCTGGCACCCGCGCTGGAGCCCTTGGCGTCTCGGGTCCCACCCCTGGATCTTGCCGCGGTGGTCGCAGGCCGCGGCCGCGCCAGCTCTTCCCAGACGGAGTCGTGCCAGGACCCCCCGCCTCAGAAGGCCACGGAGCCGCTACGCCCAGGCTCGCGCGCGGCGCCGCCGCTTCGGGGCCTCGCCCAGGAGGGGCTGGCCATCAAGCGCTTCAGGCCAGGGGGGGGGGAGAAACACCCTGGTCCTCCACTGACGGTGCTTACTGCAGAGACCTGGGCTATTGGACCGCCCTGGGAGTTTACCAAAGGGTTTTGGACTTTTGCGAGACAGTCCTGTAGTCCTGGGCAATTCCCTAAACAGCGAATGCCTTATGGGATTTGGTCCTTTCAGACAGGCGGCATTCCCTGGATGTGTATGGGTATTCACCTTTTTTAGCAGAGCATGTCAATCGGGGCACCCCGAATGCGAAACCGTTGCTGCCCGCGGGCCGTGCCGTGCCCACGTGCCATGCCGTGGCGTTCCCGCGTGCCGGGCCCTACTGTGCCGTGCCCCTGCCCCGCAGCTGGAATTCGGGAAGGGTGCTGGCGGCGTGCCGTGCTGGTGTGGCGTGCCGTGCCGTGCCTCGCTTCTGTAATGCGGAGATGCTGCCGCCCGCACGCCGTGCCGTGCTCGTGTGCCGTGCCGTGCCACGCAGTCCTCGCGTGCCGTGCCATGTCGTGCCGTGCCCGGCTTGGCCTCTGGAGTGCGAGGGGGCCTGTCCGCGTGCCGTGCTCGTGCGCCGTGCCGTGCGGTGTCGTGCACACTTTCTGGTGCCGTGCCGTGCAGTGCCCGCGTGCCGTGCCGTACTGGGGAGATGTGGCCGCCCGTTCGGCGTGCCGTGCTGTGCGTAGCTTCTGGGATGCGGCAGAGTTATCGAATCGCTTCGCTCACTCCGCCGGCCCATTTCGCATGACTGAGCCTCTTGGGGCCGCTGGGGGGCCTCTTCAGCGTCGCTTGGGGGCCTCCTGAGGGCCTCTTGGGGGCTTTTGGGGCCTCTCAGGGGTCTCTTGAGGCCTCCTGGGGGCTTGTTTTGTGTTCCCCCTTTGGGGCACCGCTTGGGGCCCTCTTGGGCCCCTCTTGGGCCGTCTTGGATGCCTCTGGGGCCGTCTTGGAGCCCTCTTGGGCCATCTTGGGGCCCTCTTGGGAGCTTCTTGGGCCCTCTTGGGGCGATCTTGGGGGCCTCTTGGGCCGTCTTGGGGCGTCGGGAAGCCGAAAAGATGGACACGCTAGAATCTGCCCAAAACCTAAGGAAAAAGTAATGAATTTTGCCTCTTGGGGCCCTCTGGGGAGTGCTCTTGGAGGCCTCTTGGGGCGTCTGGGGGCCATCTTGGGCGTCTTGGAACGATCGTGTGGCATCTCGGAGCACTCTTGAACCATCTTGGAGGGCTCTTGGCGGCCTCGTGGCCCTTCTTGGGGCTCTCTGGAGGGCCACGGGGGCGGCGCCCAGGAGGAAAACCATCTCTGACCCGAGTCTGCCGGGGATCGCCCGGGGTACTTTTCGTCCGGGAACCCCCAGGGGCCGCACCGCGCGCGCGAAGTAGAAGTATTACGTAGCAGTTACCGGAGATCTTAGCACGCCTCTGGCCCGTTGGGCCGGCGAATTCGCCCGCGTGCCGTGTGTTCGTGTGCTGTGCCATGCCGTGCAGGGCTCGTTTTCTGTTCTTGGGGGGAGTGCGAAGACGGTGCCGCCCGCGTGCCTTGGCGTGCCTGCGTGCCTTGCCATGCCGTTGCGTGCCGTGCCCGCGTGCCACGCCCGCGTGCCGCGCTCGCGTGCTGAGCTCGCGTGCTGAGCTTTTGGGGCTTGCCCGAGAGCGAAAAAGCTGCCGTGCCGTGCCTGAATCACAGAACGCGCAAACAGTTGCCGTGCCGTGCCGCGCTTGGTGCTAGGAGTGCGGGAAACTCCTTGTCCGTGCCGTGTCGAGTTTGGGCTTCCGGGTGCGAAGACATTGCTTTGTTGTCCCTGGTTTTCAGGAGGCGAAGCATTGCCGTGCCTTGCCGTGCCGTGCCGTGTTTGTAGGGTGCGAGAAAGGTGCCGTGCCGAGCCGTGCTGGACTTTTGCGAGAGAGTTGCCGTGCCATGCCAATGCGGCAAGGTTGCTGTGCCGTGCTCGTCTTCAGGATGAGAACAAGTTGCCGTGCCGTGCCGTGCGTGGTTGTCCGATTGCGGAAAGAGTCGTGTCATGCCGTGCAGCGCCTGGGCTTCAGGTCGCGGCCAAGTTGCTGTGCCGTGACGTGCCCGCCTTTCGGAGTGCGACGTGGAGTGCTGTGCCGTGCCGTCGTGTGCCGCGCTGGGCTTTCAGAGCTCAAGAAAGTGGGTGTGCCGTGCCGTGCCGTGCCGTGCCGTGGCGCGCCTGGCTTCAGAGCGCGAAACAGTTGCCGTGCTGGTTCTCAGAGGGCGGAACATTTGCAGTAACATGCCTCGCCGTGCTGGGTTTTCAGATTGCGAAAAAGGTGCCGTGCCATGTCGACCATATGTATCATCATGCAGTGTTGGTGGTGTTCAGGGTTTCTGCGCCGTTAGTACTTGCTTTTCATTTTGTTGCGATTCCTCTGGTGAGCGCGTTCACTAAAGGGCCTTCCTTGCACGATGTGTTCGTTATTTCGGAGGCGAGCAGAGAAGATGCCTCCCCAGGCTGGGGGTAAGGGATGTCTCGAGCGAGACCGGGGGGATCACACCGCCAAGAAGGCGCCTTCCCCTTGGTGGTGTTGTCGCCTCCTCTGCTCTCAGGAGGGGTCCAGAAGCCTTCGGAGGTTCTGTGCCTTCGACCCTCTCTGGCGCCGCCGGCGCGTCGAGAAGTCGCCCCCAGCGCCCCCCGGTGGCGCAGCAGCGGGCGCCGCGGCGCGGCGCCGTGCTCGCGTGCCTTGCTGTGCCGAGCCGTGCCCGCGAGTGTCGCCCCTCCCTTCCGAGGATCGAGCACCGAGCATCGAGGATCGAGGATCGAGGTGTGCGTCGCGCCGTGCCGTCCTGCCCCTCTGCCAGGGGCCGCGTCCTCGAGGGCCAGGCCGTGCGGTACCGGCGGCCCCGCGCCGCGACGGAGTCCCTCCTGTTCGCGGGCCTGACCGTCGCGAGCCCGCGGCTCTCCAGCGGCGGCCGCGCGGGCGGCGGCCAGAAGGGGCCGACCAGGGGCGCTGCGACTTCCACCACCATGGCCTCCGCCGCAGAGGCCATCAGAGGAGTCGGCTACACGCAAGAGCGGCCCTTCGCCAGAGTGGCCTTTTTGCAGGCCCGTTGGGGTCCCCCGATCGCCGAATGCGATGCGGTGGTGGCGTCTTGGGCGCTTGTGTTTGGTCCCCCGCGGCCCCGCAAAAGCCGCGCACCAAAGGTCACTCTTGCTCAGGGTCACTCCTGCGTGCAGCCGGCCAGCAGAGCAGAGGGTACGATGCCGCCTCCCCGCTCTCGTTGCCACGGCAGGACACGCCTAGGCACCCTGGTCGGGGCGCACGGTCCCGGGAGCAGCGACATCTGTACCTTTTTGTTCGATCCCCCGAGGCCATGGCCCGAGAGGCGGAGGCCGCAGGGGGCAAAAGTTGCGTCAGCATCTCAACGTTCGGGGGTCCGCGCGGATCTTTTGGAGCTCGGCGCTGGCCGGCCCCCCCCCCCCCCACACCCTGGCGTGCGGCTAGGTGCTGGCGCCGCCAGGGGGTCCAGTGCCGATCCCTCGAGGAATCCGCGCGGACCTCCGGAAGGTCATGTTTGTTCCCAAGTAAGGCGCTGCCTGAGAAATGTCTGGCTGCTTGTTCTCCGGTACAGCTTTGCCCAATGGCCCCTGCACTTGTCACAGGACCTGGCGAGTACGACGCCCTTTGTCAGAGGCGCGGCCCGGCGTTCCCCTGGGGCACTTCCCCGGGGTTGCTCGGGGTTGCTCTGGGTTGCTTTTGTGCTCGGGGCTCCTCGGGATTGCTTGGGGTTGCTCGGGGCCGGTTGCTCGGGGTTGCTCGGGATTGCCGAGGCCATGCAATGCCAAGCAATAGCTTCACGCAATGACAAGCAACGTCAAGCAACGTTCCCAAGCAACGCAAAGGAATGCCTAGCAACGCTTTGCATCGGGTTGCTTTGCATTGCCGAAAGTGATCTGGATATCTTCGGAAGGAGACCCCTGACTGGTGTCGCGCTGGGGTCATGCCGTTTTTGTTGTTCCTGGCTTCATGCCGTTTTTGATTCCTCCAGGAGGGGGCCGCCGCCGATGGCGATCGCTGGGCGGTGGATGCTGCCAGCAAGAGGGAGCCGGTCGGCCCCGCCGCTGGGGCCTAGCCTTCTCCTCGGTCCTGGCCATCAGGCACCACGGAGGATGATCTGGAAGCGTGTGGAAGAAAGACAACTTACCTGGGGTCGGGCTGGGTTCATGAGGTCATGGCCCTCGCTTTCTTTGTTCACGTGCCTGGATGCGGCATCGTTGAGAGCGCCTTCCGGCGACTTGGTTTTTGCATAATTACCCCCCAAAGGGCAAATGCTCTCCATTCGTTTTTTTGGTCTAGCCATGGCGCTGGCTAACTTTTTGTGCCAGCGGTCGCTCATGCGTTCGATAGCCGCCGGGGCACGCCGCGCTGTTGGTACGTTGACGCAGGAGGGGGAGGAGGAGTAGGAGGAGGAGGAGGAGGAGGAGGAGGAGGAGGAGGAGGAGGGTGGAGGACCGAGGAGGGCCGTCGCAGAGGTGGGCCCGGGGTGGGGCGAGGCTTCCGCCGCAGAGAGTCTGCGCCGTGTGGCGAGCGCAGGCGGCCCCTCTCGGGCCGAGCGACGGAGGGGGGATAGGCAGAGGGGGGGCCACGAAATCTGCTGCATGCGGCCGGTTCCGGCCCCGCCGTCGGGCCCATTCCTCGAGGCAGTGTTTGGTCGGCGAGGCGAGAGCGAGCCTCTTCCGCGAAAAGCCAGGCGGGCTACGCACAGCTTCAATCAGGGAGACAGGGCACGGGAGGGCGGGGCCTCAGGCGGCCGGAGCGGGCGGAGCCCAGGGTGCAGGCGGTGCCGAAGAGCTTGCACAAGAAAAGGTACGCCGCGGACAGGGACCGGAGGCGACCATTCCTCGATACAGGCAGCGGCAGATACGCTCTGCGGCACTCGGCGCTCTCACGGCGACGCAGCCTCTGCTCGCCTGCTGAGCAGCCGCCGCCGCCTTGCAGCCGCCTGGGGCTCCTCAGCAGCCCATGACTGCAGGCCCGTGTGATAGAACGGTGGACCGGGTCCCGGGCCCCCCGGGGGCCCGAACCCGGACCGCAAATGGGTGGACCGCGGTTGCCCGCGCAGAATGTGGGAGCCCCAAATCGACGCCGAGGGCGCTCAGACAGCCGTCAAGACGATCCTCGGCGGCCTCGACTCGTCCCAAGGCGGGCTCCAGACGTCTCAGACGGCTCACTCGGCGCCTCCAGCGGCCTGAATTGCCCCCAAGACGCCCCGAGAGTGCTCCAGGAGGCTCTCGAAGACAGCTCCGGGAGACCCAAATTATAAAATCTTGACGCTTCGCATATCCCCACAAGTTACCGCACGCTTCGTGTGCAAGTAGCTTTGTACCGCCGTCCCGGACATCGCATGTCGCCGCTAGACCGTTGTCGCGCGGCCGCCGACCAAAAAATATCCCCACAAGTCCATCCAGAAGCAGATCGCCAGGCGAGTTGCCTTGATCAGGGAAGTGTAGAAGAGTGCAGTGCAACAACCGCCTTGGAAGCGTTTTCTCGGAGGTCTCTTGGAGCCATCTTGGGGCTCTCTTGGGGTCCTCGCGGAGCCTCTTGGCACTCTTGAGGTCCTCTTGGGGCTCTCGTGGGGCGTTCTCGGGACCCTCTTGGGGCTCGTTCGTTGATGGAGTGCTTCAATTTGTATTTTTTCAGCGATGACCCCGAGCCTTAACAACAGGCCCAGGGCATCTGCCGCTCTGAAGTGCAGGTGCTGGCACAGGTTGCGGCGAGCCTCCGTGAGGAGGAAGATTCGCAGCCGCGCTGTTGGTCAGAGATATCCAGTCGACGACTCTGGCTGACTGTTATTTTTAATACACTGGCACCTCCCTCTGTTGCAAGTGTGGATGCCTGCTGTCAGGCTTTGGAGGCGCTGGGCGTGGAGCTCAAAAAACATGACTCAAACAGAGGAGGGGTAGGAAATTCAGGCCCCCCCCCGGGGAGGCTCAAACATGGCGTTTTGAGGCCCTCTTGGGGCGCCCTTGGGGCGCTCTTGGGCGCTCTTGGGGCTGTCTTGAGGTTCTCTTGAGGCCCTCTTGGGGCTCTTTCGCGCCATCTTGGGGCCATCTTGAGGCCTCAGCAGCCCATCGGGAGCAACAAGGCGAGAAGGCAAAACATATGGTTTTTTCTTACGCAGATTTTTTGGGCCATTCTTGCCTTTTTGGGGGGTCCTTGGAGGGCTCGGAGGGCACTTGAAACCATCTTGGGTTCGTTTTGAGGCCTCTGAGATGTGTGTCGGAGGCTATCTTGAACCATCCTGGGGTATCTTGAGCCATCTTGGAGGGCATCTTACGCTCTCAGAGGCCCTCTTGGGGCCATCTTGGACGCTCTATAACCCCTCGGCCCCTCCCCCTCCCAGGTCCAGGGGCGGGGGAGGGAGGGCCTTTTGGAAGATAGAAGACAAAGCTCTTCAAGCCACCTAATTACGCCCAGAGAGCTCCGACTCGCCCCCGAGTCGCTGGAGAAGGCCGACCTCCCCGGATACCTCGGGGGGCCTCAGACCCAGACTACTCCTAAGTCTGGCGCGGAGACTGCGACAGTTCGGACGCCTACAGTCGGAGGCGCAGGTGGCTGCTCTGCCAGCAGGGCTGCGAGAGGCCGACGCCAGCACCAGGCGAATCGGCGAATGGGTAGGGCCACGGGAGTTCCACCCAATTGTCGGGCCGGACGAAAGGGGGGGATTGGGAAAGGGGGGGTTACGAAATTTGCTGCATGCAGCTGGTTTCTGCCTCACCGAGGGGCCCATTCCTCGATAAATAGCCGCCTCCGGCGCCGGGAGGCGCCGGGAAAATCAGCTACGTGAGCTGATTCTCAAACCCCCCCTTTGCTATCCCCCCTTTGGCCCGACCCGATATTGTCTCCTTCTTTTCCTCGAGCTGACCGACGGCACCGCGGACAGTCAGCAAGCTGGCAGGCCGCAGTCAGCGTGCAGCGGGCTCGGGGGGACGCAGAGGGCTGGCTGGGCATCTGCGGTGGAAAAGACCACGGCTGCCCAGCCGTAAGTGTGCGACCGGTGCCTCAGGAACCATCGGGGGTGGACAGACCTCCTACCCTGACACGTCGATTAAGGAATTGGCCGTTTTCGGTTCGCGAGAGGACGTCGCGGCCGTCATTTTTGCGGGTCCAGGTCCGTCGGTTTCGGTCCCAGGCCGTGTTCACTAAGGGGAGGTTTACTAAAGGGAGGTCTGTCCACAGCCGAAACCACCGCCTCCTACTACAAGTTTCATAGGTGGTATATACATATACCGGGGGACCGGGTCCGGGGGCTGGGGGCCGGCGCCTCGACCACAAATGTGGGGCGGGCGTTATTTTCCGTGTGTTTTTTACAGGGTTTCGGCGACCCCGGGCCAACAGGGCCCCAAGAGGCTACAGGGAGGCCCCAGTAGGCTGCAGCGATGGCTCCATGGACGCCTTTCAAGACGATTCCCATGACGCCAAGAAGGCCCCCGAAGGCCCCGAAGACGCCCCAAGAGGCACCCCGAGAGAGCCCCAATAAACAAAAATCGTCGATTTGCTATGGGGAAACTGAAATTTTTGGCGCCTTTTGGGCTTCCACTGCGTCCAAGACGGCCCAAGAGGCCCCCAAGACTGCCCCACAGGCTCCCAAGAGGGCTCCAAGACGACCCAAGACGGCCTGAGAGGCCCCCGAGACAGCCCAAGAGAGCCCCAGGACGAGCCCCAGAGGGGTCCCAGAGGTGCACAACCATTTCCGATTCCGAGCTTTTGGCCCCAGAGGCTCTCAGGAGGCCCTAAGAGGTCCCCAGGAGGCCCCAAGAGGCCCCCCAGAGGCCCCAAGAGGCCCCCAAGAGACCCCCAGGAGGCTCCCAAGAGGCACCCCAATAGAGCCCAATCAGCAAACATCGTCGATTTTCAATTGGAAAGCTGATATTTTTCGCGTGTTCGCCTTTTGGGCTTCCACTGCGTCCAAGACGGCCCAAGAGACACCCAAGACGGTCGAGGATGCCCCAAGAGGGCTCCAAGACGGCCCACAAGGGGGCCAAGACGGCCCACGAGACGCCTAAACCGCCCAAGAACGCCACAAGTCGGCGCCCAAGACGGCGACGAGGAACCGAAAATGCTAGCCATTTGGCCCAAGAGGCTCCCCAGGAGACCCCAAGAGGCCCCAAGAAGCGCCCAAGAAGCCCCAAGAAGTCCCCAAGAGACCAGCAAAAACACAAAAAGAGGCCCGGGACCCGCCCCCAGGGGCACCCCAATAGAGCCCCAATAAGTAAAAATCGTCGATTTCCGATTGGAAAACTGATATGTTTGGCGTGTTCGCCTTTTGGGCTTCCACTGCGTCCAAGACGGCCCAAGAGGCACCCAAGACGGCCGAGGATGCCCCCAAGAGGGCTCCAAGACTGCCCACGAGGAGGCCAAGACGGCCCCCGAGGCGCCTAAACCGCCCAAGCACGCCCCGAGTCGGCGCCCAAGATGGGGACGAGGAACCGTAGATTCGAGCGTTTTGGCACAAGAGACCCCCAGGAGACCCCAAGAGGCTCCAAGAAGCGCCCGAGAAGCCCCAAGAGGCCCCCTAAGAGACCCGCAAAAGCACCAAAAGAGGCCCCGAAGCAGCCCCCCAATGTGCCACCCAAAACGGCCCAAGAGAGCCCCAGGGCGCGCCCAAGTGGGTCGTCGACCAGAGAGCTGGTCCGATTTTCCACACTCTACACAGGGTCCGCTCCCGGCGGTGCCTCAAGCAGGTGTTGACACTGGAATCCTCACTTGCCTGAGACAAGCTCCAAACATTTGTTCGCACAGCGATTCCTGTGTCTCTTTCACACACATTTACTATTATTATTGTTATTGATATTTATTTATTATTATTACTGTTATTATTATTATTATTATTATTAGTTTTATTAGTATTTTTAGTATTATTAGTATTATTTTTAAACGCAATACAACATACATACTCTATTTATTCTGATATGTATGTATGTATACATGTATGTATGTATGTATGTATGCATGCATGCATGCATGCATGCATGTATGTATGTATGTATGTATGTATGTATGTATGTAGGTAGGTATGTATGTATGTATGTATGTATGTATGTATGTATGTATGTATGTATGTATGTATGT